CGCAGACACGGGCCATGTAAACGACTGGTTAGTGAAGCCTAGCACTGATGATGGTTGGCAGTCGGTGTTCTAATGCACCAAATCCCTTTCTTTATGCACGTAGCTTTGTGCACAGGGCAGTGTCATGCTGACGTAATAAAGAATTTTTCCTTAGTGTGTGCCCATATATTTGGTCATACAGTGTATGTCATTACAGCAGTTTTCCCTAGAAAAACTAAAACACACATGCTGTTCCAGCACACTGTCCAAACATGACACATTTGGGGTTTTTGTGTACATGTTTACAGCAATTTTGTGCCACATAATATTGGATACATGCTGTTGCATTATTCCCCGACAGCGATCAACCAACACACAAACATACACACTGACAGTTACACAGGCTTGCAGGTGTGTTGACATTACTATAGTTTTGCATTCACAGGGCTGATGTGGAGTTTAATTGCAGGCGTATAGCAGTGAGCCAGTCATTGTGTTGTGAAACCCATCGTTTGCACAGGAGTGCATCTGAAATCAGCAAACAGCACATTACAGAGATATTTCCAATCCGTCTAACAGGACTGGCAATTTGAGCTTGCAGGTGCTACTTTGGTTGAGCCGTGTTCTGTGAAGCATAATTTGCCATGTGATTGGCTTCATTGTTGCAGCACTCTCATTTTTCTCCTGGCTGTTTATGCGTCTGTCTGTCCAGCTGAGATGGATGGATGGATGGAGGCATGAATGGATGTTTGGATGTCGTCCTTCCCTGAGGCTAGATAAACACAGGGACATTCAATATGGAGTGAAATGTTAACTTCGTGAATTTTAGGCACCCGGCTAAAATACTTGAAAGAGGAATACTAAATATTATTGCTCTGTCTCCTTCAGACACATACGCACATATAGCTCTGTCTCCACTCACCCCCTCCTTTTGTCATCCAGTTTGTGGTATCTAGTGTGGCTTGTTTACAGCACAGCAGAGTTAATTAGCCGTTTTATGGCTGATTTACAGCCCAACAGGCAGACAGAGAAGATGGCCGCTGCCTTGTCCTTGTTGCCCACTCAAGGACTTGTCAAAGGGGACATTAAACACACAACACATGCATGAGCACACAGACAAGTAGTCGGTTTGACCAAAATGAACATGTTACTTTGCATTTGTATGTTTGTGTACATGCACAGTGAACACAATACCATATTTAAAGACACACACACACACACACACACACACACACATACACACACTTGCATATTCACTAGACTCTAAAACTTAACACAGTGCTGAATATTACTCCCACTTTTTATGTCCCGACATAATTCCACTGTCTAGACTGATTTATCAGGGTGCAACACACACCTACACACAAACACACACACACAAATGTGACCCAGCTCACCTTGACCAGTTTCTCTAATCTCAATTATACAGGAGCACTGACTTTAGAGAAGAAAGAGCTGAGAGGACACATCATATAACCCAAACTCACACATGTACACTCCTAAAGAAAGTGTATAAACACAGACTCACACATTCAACAGACAGCATATCATATCCTAGCTGTAAGAACTGTGAAATGGACTGAATTATTGCAAGTTTGTCACTTTCTTCATTTGACTTCAATACTTTCTAAAAGTGTCTTAAAGCAGTTGCAGTAGTGAATTAGAGGCTCAACTCTTCAGACTAACAAAAGCTTGCTGTGCTTAAAAATGACCTTATGCTTGTGGTTATTTCTTTGAGAAGCAAGGGCATTTGGTGTGATTATTGATGTTATTCTGCTGTAAAAGTGGTTGGATGGTCACGTAAACAAAATATCACCTTGACACCAGACACCATTGCTTGACTCCTGTCCTTCAAATTGTGGTTTCTTTGAACGCAATTGTACGCTAACCTAATCCTCAACGCTCACATGCTCATACATTAAAAACACAGTTGGTCACAGTTATTCCGGAGCTAGCAACCAATATGGACAGGAGGAACAATTACGGTCACCATTAACTCTTTCAATGTACTCACTGAACATTTTTTTCTGCTGAAAAGACATTTAAAAAACCAGACTATGGGGGTGCTACTGATAGCTCAGCTGGTAGAGATATAGTGCCCAATATATTAAGGCTGTGTCCTTCCTGCAGCTGCCATACATGGGTTTGAATCTGACCTGTGGTCCTTTGCTGCATGTCATCCCCTCTCTCTCCCCCTTTTGTCAGCTGTCCTATCCAATAAAAGGCAAAAACTTAAAATATATTTTTTAAAACAAACAGACTTACAGACTATAAGATCTTGTTTAAACATTTTTATGTAGACCATGTTTCCCTGAGATTTGCAGCTGTCACTCTGGAGCCTAAATCCACATGCAAATGTGCTTCACACAGGACTGGAAACAATCCCTCTGGGGGAAGGTCCTATGCTTAATGCACTCCTTCACTGTATTTTGGATGTTGCCACCTCTTATACTATACGTCTATACTATATACTTATACTTCCTAAGATCTTTTTTCCATAAAGCACTTTCTGACACTAAAGGCTCAAGATTAACTACTTGCAAGTCCCAGTGGATGTACCTTCAGAGTAGTTAAAGCTGTTACAAAAAAAGGATAAGTACTTACACATGCACGCTACAGCAGTAAGCACAATTTCTTTCCAAACTGATATACGGCATTATTTTCTATTGTTGGCAGCACACAGCCTATATTGTTAGATATTTGACATTTTATATGAAATATTTTGGACTTTTTTGGACAATTTTGAAGGCACTAACAAATATCATTCTGCTGGTTAAAAAGAAAAAAAACATATACGGATGAATATATGGATGATTTTGTTTTGTTTGTTAGGTATGAGGCCTATACTGCCTTACAATGGCAGTCAGTATTTCAATGAGGCTGTTTACCAATCTCTGAAAGACTAACTGCAAACTGGCCAGTGTGTTTCACTGCATTTTTGTTGATTTTCCCGCTTTAAACTTGAGGATGAATTATCTCCTCTTTGTAAATATACACTAACAACACAGCAAGCGCTTCTAAAGGTCTAAAAAGGTGTAAAGGGGATATATTACATCATCTAAAGCTCACAGTACACAGACACCCTCCCTCTCTCCCACACCTTCTCTAACAAATCGAAGCTGACATCAGCAGGAGGCTAACAGCGATGCTAGCGAGCACACACTGTCATCTGAACAACGTTAGCATAGCAGTGACAGCTAACAAGAGAAGACATCACATTAGCCGGCACCGTGGCGTGCTAGCAGAGCAGTTGGCGCCGCCGGAGTGCCTGACTGCGCTGATGTAGCTACAGGTGTAGTATTCATTCATGCTTAAAGAGTCTGACACTGGCAAGCGAGCAGCCGGCGGCGGGCTAGCACAGCACCTGACAGCTGGTTAATGTCGATGTGTGCAGTGTTTCCTCAGCAACAGGAGAGGACACACAGGTGCTTGAGTTTGGGTAGGGGTGGCACAGTGTGGACGCCACTGACACTGACAGCAGTGGTTTACTTACTCTGTTCTTCCTTTTGATAACCCCTCTGCTTTTTTCCTTTTTTTTATCTTTTTGTTATTGATTGTGTTTCACTCTTCTTTTTCTTTTTCTGTCTGTTTTTTGATGTTTTTGCTTCTTTTTCTGTCCCTACCACTCCGCTTTCTTTGTGCTGTTTTATATTTTGAGCGTATCTCTATGTCATGTCATGGTTTAATGGGATAATTGATAGCAGAGAGTGAAGAGAAACAGGGAGTGGGATTCTAACAAATCATGTTACAGTTGCATCTCCAACTCCCTGACCACTTCTATTCCTCTCTTATAAATTCTTTGCTCTACATTCCCTATGCTTGCTTTTCGCAATGGCTGGATTCTTCCACACATAAAATTTAATTTCATGTTATTCATTTTTGTGAAACACAATCTCATGTTTTCTCTCCTGTAAGGGTCACAGTCTGCAGCCCAGATTCTCCATCTGCCTTCCCGGCGTTGGTTTCACCTATCAAAGATGTATTGTGTATGCGTGTATGTTTGTGTGTGCGCGCGCACTGCACCAGGCAGATTTTCTGCCGAAACAACAAGCAACACACTGATGATTAGAGCTTGGCGCATAATCGGCCAGAAATGAGTTTGTTTTGCGTGAAACAGGTGGCCACCCCCAAGCTAAATGTAGAAACAAACCCCCATTAACATGTCTGTAGTGAAGTGGAAAAAGCTGAGAAACAGGGCTTTTGATGGAAAGAGTAGTGTTTTCATAGAAATTCAGGTGTAGATATGCATAGGCGCGTTCTATCTCTCTTGATGTTGTTGTGTGTAGGAGTGTTGGTGAGTCTTTCTGTTCCCAACATGTTTCTTCTGTTTTTTAATGTACTGTATATTTGTGTTTTGTGTTTTGAGTTTGGGGGGGGGGGTTGGACCTCATGCTGATAAGGGCCTCGCCGTCTGCCTTTGTTCATCTGACACTTCCTCATTAATACAGTTTGTCCGCCCTCCTCCTCCCCTCTGACTCTCTCCGCCCCCCCCCCCTGCCATTCCCCACTCCTCTTCCTTCCTCTTGTGCACCTACCAGCCATCCATTTTGCTTTGATCCCCCCCCACCACTTTTTCCCATGCCTCCTTATTTCATCCTTTTCTGTTTCCTACCTCTACTGTCCTGTTCCCTTTCTCTCTTTCTTCTTTACTGCTCTTTTACTTTCTTTTTTACATTTTTTTCCTTTTCCTATTTGTGTCCGTCACTGTTCAACCCTCTTTTCTCCTGCCTTTTAACCTTCCCTTCCTTGTTAATCACACATGGTTATCGGTTACAAAAGCCGGCATGTTTACCATTTGGTTACTGTAAAATCATCTACTGTCTGAAGAAATTGAGCAAGTGTTGAGCAAGGCATTTAACCTCCAGTTGGTCCCAGTAGAGCTGTTCAGCGACCAACTGACTGTGGCCCAACTGCACATGGATAACAATGTGTTTATGAAGTAAAACAGGATAGTCTTTCAGAAATGTCCCCAAATATCATGTTAAATAAAATAATTTCTTTTTTTCTGTCTCACTCTATAGCAGCTGATGAGAGAGCGACAGCAGATGGCCAGTCGTCCCTTTGCTTCGGTTGCTGTAGCGCTGGAGGTGGGCGGTGACCAAGAGGAGCTTCTACAGGTCAGCTAAAACACACAAAAATGAATGCAAACAGAAATAAACATAACCAAAAAGACTCACATAAGCACATGAGGGAAATGATGGTGTTGTGTTAAACAAAACAAAACAACACCATCATTGTGTTCATTTGCATACCCACACAAGGATGAAAACGCTGCTCTGGCCCTCTGACCTTATACCATGACTGGAGTGTGATTGTATGGGTGTGTGTGGTTACACATGAGGATGCTGACACTGTAAACCAACTGGTAATGCAACAAGTGTCCTTCATAGGTTTTAGAAAATATTCCTAATTCAGATTCCTTTGTTGTTGTTTTTTTACCTTGTTGGAGCTGTTCTAGGAATTACCTCTGGTCACCAAACTGCACTTACTGTATGATAAAGGCAGAAGTAGCCCTGCCTCAAAGTACCAGTGTGTAGCATTTAGCATCATCTATGTATTTAGGTAGTTGCATACTGTAACTAACTGAATACAGCTCGCCTTCCAAGCATGTAGGAAAACTATGGCGGCTCCGCCCGTCCCACAACCACTAAACAATAGACTGTCTAGGTGTCTGGGCTCAATTAGAAACATGGTGGTTTAACATGGTAGACTCCATAGTAGAGGATCTGCTCTCTTGTAGATAAATAAGGCTCATTGGAGGTGAATGGAGTTGTAATTTATCAAAATGGCGGAGGTTCATAAAGACAGCTTGACATCATCTGGTTTGGTTGGAATGCACAGAGCCGTCCCACAGTGCAGTGCACAGCCAAGTCAACATCAACCCTTGTCATTTCAGAAAGAATGGTAGCAGCTACACTATTGTTTTCTGATTAGACACTAACAAACACAGAGGGTTGCAGTGGGTACAGACCAGCCACTACAGCTCAGTATTGTGGAATTATACACACATGCACAAACAAATGTAGAGTCCTGGAGCTGAACTGAGAGTACTGAATCATCAGCGTCACTGACCACATCAGAAGCTTTTTGTAGTGGAGCTCCCCTGGTCACTGGAAGCACCACTGCTGCTCAGCTCAGCCAACAACAATCCACAATTAGTCTGTTACAGATAGGTGGTTGCTGAGCCTTTAACCTTATAAACACCACTTATATAGACCATGGTTTGAACCAGCAACAGACAGAACTTATTTGACTCTGAACTGAAGCCACAGGTGGAGCATTGTGAACAGTGAGTCACTAAAACTTGTAGATTTGTCATTTAACAGCAATAACTATTTTTTAATATGGACAACAAATCTTTGAAACTGATTTAAATTATTTTTTTAACTCAACTTGTCCGAAGGTAAATACAGTATTGTGTATAAAATACAAGTAGGCTACCCAGCTAACTAGCCATCAACCAAGCTCACTAGCTAGTGAATAAGCTAGTGATCCTAATGGTTGTAGTTTTGGAAGGCTGAGGGGACAGAGTGCAGCTGGGCTCAATAGCCCACTCAGCAGTCCTGTGTGATAGCACTGCTCTCTCCGTGATTCGCCAACATGCTGGCAGCTCACCTTCACCCACTGGCCCTGAAGGGTCCTCATGAGGCAGTGTGGCTGGTGTTGGCCCTGAGAGAGGCTGCTGGCTGGCTGCTCATATCAGCCTCCTGTACAAAGAGATTACAGGGCACATGCTGCAACATGACAGTGGTACTTTCAGGGAAAGGGTAACCACCAAATCAGATGTGCCCTTCTCCTGAGGGGGAGTGGCAGACAGTTGTTCAAACGGTAGTGTCACCTCTGTTGTAAGATGCCTGTTCTCAATGACATACACATACAGGGTTTAGATAAACAGAGGGTGGGGTGGAATGATGCTCTGTGAATAGTAAGCAGCCCCGTGTCCAGTGTTGGGATATAAGGATGTGGAGACACTTTGTTAGTGTAGTTAAAGAGGCTTTTTGGTTAGTTTAGCGGGGTCATTCTTGCCCCCTTTCTACGAATGCGAACAAGTTCTGGGCTGGGGCTAGTGCCGGACAACATTCTAAGAACCGGTGGTGTTTAGGTAATATACTGTAACAGTTAAAAAATGTTTAATTTAGGTCCATTAAACAGTAAAATGGAACATTGGTGTCATTTGTCTGACCTTGCCTTGATGTAACTTGTTTGAGCATATCAATAATCCTGATAAGAGCAAAGCATTATGGGAAGTGAACTATTACCCCTGAGCCATCTTTGTCAACCCCCCCCAAAAGCCACAGCGGAGCCCAGTGACAGATGTTGCAGGACATATGCTCTATACAAGAGGTCAACCCGTCAGAATGAAAGCCAAGAGAAGTCACCCTCATTTATCAAACTAGTTACAAACAAAAAGCCTTGTCAGATAATGCATAGTTCAAAACAAACACCACTGAGCCTCCAGTCCACGTTTGAAACTTCAGTAAATCCGGAGACACTGACTTAAACAATTCACAATTCTGTATTTCAGAATTTTGAGTGATAATCAAAGAATTTACACATATAATTAGATTGACACAATAAACTTTAAAATCCTCTCTGTGTAATAGAGACACTATTAACATACTTCATTCTTCCACCTTGCACCCACGAAGAAGTGAATATAAGTACCTGTTGTATACCAGTCTTTTACTCAACTGACACTGTTGGAATATGTTACCTCTATAAGTCAAGCTGGATCATATCTTCATTTTAATTTTCACTGTATGAGAATAGATTTTATTTGGGATCTTAGTCATCATAATGTTTGGACTCATTTGAACTTTATACATTTATTACACAACCTTTGCAGAGTATAATAAACAAACAATACTTGCATTCATATATCTAATTATGGCTTCTCTGCAGTGTAAATTTATGTTGAAGCCTTCAATAGTTTTGTGATATTAAGTTTTCAGATCTTCTGTAAAATATTGTCATGTTTTAAATTCCACCTCCCTGTTTGAGGCTTCATCTCCTCACACAGCTGAAGGTTATAGAGACAATGGTATGGAAGGCTATCTGCCCATGATGCTTAATTAGTTTTTAGTTCTGTTTTGACCAGGTTGGACTCAGTTCAGTTCGGCATATGTGCCTGTGGAAACCTCAGGAGTACCCTTCCTTATCTGTGCCTCAGCCTGGTTTCCATTTCATTCTTGAAGGTGAGAGACAATAGGGCAGAACGCTATCTTCACACTGAGGTTAATTACACAACATCTGGTTCATAGTCAAGCATGCAGCTTAGCATAATTGTGTAATGAATGAGGGAAAGGGAACCTTTCCATGCTGCCCCGCTATTTTATGTTGTCCCACTTACACAGCAACAGAGTATGGTTAAACAAATAAAGCCATCATCACCCCATTTCATGCCATGTTTAGACAGCGAGCAAGGAACACAACACCTGTTGTTTCCACACTCACAGTGATTTGGTCTGCATGCAAAGTTGTGTGAATTAGATGATGAAGATGTAATTGCATGGAGAGAAGTGTGGCGTGATTTGATGGAGGATTAATGCGTATTTTCAACTTTCCAGTGTCCATATATTCAATAGTCAAATCACATATATTTTTTTCATATGATTTATTTCCTTATTTTTATCTTTTGTTACACACATTACAAGAATTAATTGCAGAAAAGAAACCATAAATAGCATACCTTTCAGCTCTTACAACATATACTGTTACATTAAACATGACCCAGTTGTTCACCCACAAGAATATTTTCAATATATGTAATTTTTTTCTATGGCCATATAATATGCCATTTTAAACTGAACACCGCTGTTAGGCCTGTCAGTTTTCTTTCAGCCCAAGGTTATCAGTAGCTTCACTTGTAATCTACACATCAATTCAACTAAAAGGGACTTGCAACGAAAAGCTGGAGCAGATCCTGGTACACACTCTGCAGGAGGGCATCTGAGCTCTGATAAGTTATTGAGTGCTTTGGTGCCTGTGAGACAGGCAACACAGAGAATGTGGGGGAACCTTGTGACTAGGAAGAGGCAGAATATAGGCAGAACACATGTAGTGGATAAATCAGATGAAGTGGGCAGTAAGAGGAGCGCCTAGACCAGAGTCTGGCTGGCTCAGTCTCTCTGTTGGACTTGAGTAAGCATTTAATAACCTTTCACCTTATAATCAAGATTTGTACATTTCAATTTCAAAAATCCTCTCCTGCGGGAACCTTTTAAATCTTTGTACTATTTGTATGTGTAGCTTTTTATGGTACCCACCATTAAATGATGAGAAATGTATGGAGGACCAGAAATACTTATATGTCCTTTAAAAAGTGTTACTGATTTACTTTTGTGTTAGCAGTTATTCCTCAAGTATTTATATCAACCCTGTCACCTAGACGTCATTCTATGCTGTTATGCTGCTTTATCTCCATAATGAGGAATCCTTGTTAATCAAGGTGTCTGGCAGGTTGAGACTTAACATATTAGTAAAATGTTCACTGACCACTAATGTAATTGTTTTTCCGCCTTATTATGGTTATGTTTAGGCACTGAAAATACAAACCCAGATCTCCAGTGCTAATTATTCATGCCTGACGTACACTACATCCATCTCCTTATAACACTTGAAACATAGCACTTCCTTCACACAAAACACTTATGTGAACATAATTCAGGCAACAGCGTGAATCCCATTAGAACGTAAATGTGAAAACAAATTTGTTGTATATAAACATAATTTTGTGGAGACAGGGTTGACGTGTAAGCATGCGTGCATACACACACACACACACTTTACTGTACTGTACTGCCCACCCAGTATCTGATTCATGATTCATGTCCTCTCTAACCACATTTTGTTGCAATATGGGTAAATATAATATCTTATTACATAGTAGAAGACAGCACCATCCCCTGGGCTTCCCTCTTGAGTTTCCCCCTAGAAGCTACAGTCCAAAGCATCTGTGTTCAAACATCTAAATCTTTCACTCTCCATCTCTGTAAGAACAAACAATTTTAGAATCCATCACAATTTATAAATTCATGGATGTGTGGTGTGCTCAGATCCCCCAGGACACATATTGTAAAGAATAAGCTTAAAATGCTCTCCAGGTGGTTTTCCTTCA